TGTAGTGTTAGTTGATGAAAAGTAACTTTAAGTAATCAAGTTAGGAGATTATGAAAAGATTTAAAATTTTTTTCTCCTCTGAGAATGAAAGTGCAGACTATCAATGAAAATTAAGGATTGTCAAAAGTTTTCTTGTATCCTTATCAGACATTTGTACAGTAGTTTTGTTAAAATTACTACTTGAGAGCACTGCTTTATTTAAATGAGTACTCAAGAATCTCAAATAATCAAACCCCTCCCCCTACCGTGCATTTTGCAGTTAAAAAAAAACTGTTAATTCATCATCTCTTTATCACAGAAGTCTTTCTTTCAGGTTTAAGTTTTAGGAATTAACCCTCAACATTTTACAGCTGTGACTCAACATTTTAACTCAACTGTGATTGACTTCTATACTTTTTTCAGAAAATATTTAAACACAGCTAGGTTTTCAAACACTGTTTTTGAATGGAAAGAGAATTTGGAAATCATTTATCACAATCCCTTAATTTTATAGACATTGAGGGCCAGGGATAGCAAAGTGTTTACTTTCTCAAATACTAGGTAGACATATAAAAATGGAAGTGTGGATATGTACTAAAACTGGAAGGCAATTTGTAGAAATTAAAATAGTTTGAATAAGGATGTTAAGATTATAGGTAAATTTTTTGGTTAAAATGATTTTTATTGTTATTACGTTACTTATTTGATATGTAAAGTACAATATGGTGTTGTAGTTAAAAGCTGTAATCCCTATTTCATGTCATTAACTGTACTACTTAACCTCAAATAAAGTTTAAAATGGAAAGGAAAGACAAGCACCCATCATCTTTTTCCTATGCACTGGAATACATTTTAACCATGTAATTTTGTATCTTAATATTTTTTATTGTATCTTCACTCTAAAATTGCTATTATCTTCAAATATTCAAACTAAAAACTTAAAATATTTGATATAAATAAATATTTTTTGAGAAACGATTTATTTTTAAACAAATCTCTGGAAGTCCTATTTTGTCACACTTGCATTTTCAAAAGCAATTAATTCCTTTCTAACAACTAGAAGTTCAAGGCCAAAAAGGACCTACAGCACAATCTTTTACCTTTTATTTAAATTTAACATAGTAGCCTCAGGTAATAATCTGCAACTTCCCTGCAATTAAGAAGGCTTTTTCCTAACCAGTCCCCACAAAATAAACAAACAAAAAAACCAAAATACACACACAAAAAAAACAAAAAAAAAACACACCAAAACCCCTTAGTATGTGGATCCCTAAACTTGGTGAAATTATCCCCTCGGCACCCTCATTCCACTATCACACACACAAAACCACAACAGAACAATAACACATTTAAATGTATAAATATCATTTAAACACATGCTGTGGAGATACACTTTTGTTCATTTTGCCACTGACATATCCTCAGAGCAGTTTGCAATGTCACAGAAACTAATAAAGCAAGAGTAGTATCGTTGCTCAGTTTAACATACAAATTCCTCTTCCACCAATTTATCTGAAGAAAGTGATTTTTAAAAAATACACAGTATAATTAAAAAAAACAAAAAACAACCTAGAAGCCACCTACAAACTGGCTTAGTAAATTATAGGCTATCACCAGATGGACTGTTGTGTGGTTGTTACAACACATCTGGAAGTCAGGTAGAAAGAAAGAAAGATGTATATAACCTAACAGTGAAAGAAGCAAAAATGCTACACCTATCATAACTGCTAGGAAGCCAAAAATGCAAACACGTTAATACGAACTGGAGAAACTACACACAAGTATCGATAATTGTTTATGGGTGCTGAAGTGTGGTGTTTTTATTTTTAAAAATATCTTCGGAGCTTTCCAGTAATCAAAATGTCTGAAAAGAATTTAATGTAAAATGAAACAAACTCAATAACCAAAATTCAAAAGCAAAAGTAATTTGTCCTGTTGCCTACTTTTATTTCTAAACGTACCATCTACCTGCCTTTAACGTTTTAAAAGTAAACATTATCTGTGTTCCAGTCGTGAAGCCCTGAGTTCACACAGAGCAGGAGAGCCAGGCAGAGAGTTTATTTACAGAGGGCAGGACCGAACGTTGCATGTGAGCACATACAGAAAATGATAAAGATCGTTGTGTCCTATTAGTAATTTACAGAACTGTGATTTGCTCCACCCAGTACACCTATAATTGAATTCCTCAGCCATAAAATCACTGGGACCAAACAAGTGCAGATATCTTTTATCTAAAGTCTTTTTTTCTTCTTTACCATCAGTTAACATATTTCTTATGGGGCTTTTCTTCTTTTTATAGATTCATTTGTCTTGGTTATAAATTAACCCCACCAGCGACTCTCCGGCCACTCCAGCTCTACTCCAGGTCTCTTTTTACTTGCACAATGCATGACACAGGGGCCATGTGAACTGCCAGTTGGTAAATGATGCCCAAAGAACCCTCCCTAGATTAAAAAAAAGGATTCCTAAGGATGAATTCCTAAGCAGAGATTCTCCTTACATCTGGGCACCCTGGCAAAGAAATGGAATACAACTGCTGCTGAAGACCTCTGATACTTCTTTTTGACTTTGTATGTGTGTGTGCTAAAATATCCGTATCATAAACATCTACCATTTTAGCTATTTTTAAATGTCCAGTTCAGTGGCATTAAGTACATTCACAATGTTGTGCAACTACTGCCACCACCAACCATCTCCAGAACTTTTTCATCTCCTCAAACTGAAACTCTATCCCTTATTAAAGACTAACTCCCCATTCATTGCTCCCCCAGCTCTTGTTAACCACCATTCTACCTGCTGTCTCTGAATGTGACTGAACAACTTCTGTTTTTTCTTGTTCTACCTAAAGTGTGTGAACTTGCATAGTTTACTGAATTGGTTTAACACATAAGAACGCTGCCCGCAAAAAAAAAAAAAAAAGCTTCAGGGAAAAGTTCCTAATGTTTAGCATTTCATTTTTCATGCCCAAATGCCTAAATTCAGATGAAACACTCATTTTCAGATGCCAAAGTACACACCTGCCCTTTATGCCATCTTTTAAGACCTTGGCCTTTTGATTTTAAATGGCTTTAAGTTTTTCTAAGGTTAAACTGATTTTCTGAGCGAACAACGCCAGTACTGATTTCCTTTAGGAATTAAAGCTCCCTTCGTACTCTGTATTCAGTGAATTCCACTACATTTCACCTACAGACAATATGATCATCACTTGTCTTCACCATTTAAATATAAGACTTCTTATTCTAACTCTAAAACTCCTAAATTCCTGTCCAGATGTGGTCTTGGGTAACGGAAATTGGTGGAAAGAGATGATTAATGAGATTAAGTAGTTTTTCACAGTTTTGGTTTGAGCATTCAAATCAGACACCAAGCATCACCAACTAAAAACTTTGCCAAGAGGTGGTTCCCAAGGATGCAGAGCCTTGTGGGATTTTCCCACTCACAGATCTTCTAGGAAGCAACTGGCTGAAGGGGAGACCAAATTTGGAGAGGTCGGGATGGCAGTGTATGTGGACAGGATTAAGGAATGCAGCTCAAGGAATATCTTGGATGAAAAGACACCTGCTTCCCTCTATGATATGCAAACAAACAGAAACTCATTCTGTAAGTGAAAATCTAAAGAGAGTGATTATTTAGTGACTCTTACATGACTTGCAGAGAATGTTTTATTTTAAAATCATTTAACGCTTCCAGAGAAGTTGTAAAGATAGTAGAAGGAGCTCCCAGGTACCTTTCGCCTAGCTTCCCCTACTGGTAACATTTTACAACCATAGTACAGTCATAAGACTAATACATACTATCGACTACTTTACCGGGATGACACCAGTCTTCCCACGGAATGTCCTTTTCTCAGTTCCAGGATCCGATCCAGGATCCTACCATGTATTTAGTTGCCGTGTCTCCTGATTCCCCTACAAATCTGGGGTAATTCCTCCATCTGTTTTTTGTTTTGCTCTTTAAACAGCTTTATTTGAGGTATAATTGACATACAAAAAAAATTTCATATATTTAGTGTATAGTTCCACAGTCCTTAGTTGTCTTTTACGCCCCAACACTGTTGAAGAATTCTAGTCAGGTATTTTGTAGAATGTCTCTCTATTTAGGTTTGTCTGAAGTTTTCTCATGATTCAACTGAGGTTATGGATTTGGGGGAAGAATATGAAAGGCATAATATGCCCTTTTTAGGACAAAGTATCAGGGGTATAGGGACTCAATATGTCTTACAACTATTGATATTAACTTTGATTGCTGGGTTAAGGTGGTATCCGCCAGGATTCTCCACTATAAAGTCACTATTTTTCCCTTTGAAATTAATAAGTATTTGAGGGGAGCTACTCTGAGGCTGTGCACATACTGTACTTCTTACAACTTTCACCCACTCACTTTAGCATTTATTGGTGGATGTTGCCTGTACCAATTATTACTCTGGTTGGGATGGCTATTTTCTATTTCCCCCACCCCTCTTATATCTACTGATTCAAATTCTTCTGTAAGGAAAAGTTCTCCTTCCATTTATTTATTTATTCATTCAGTCATTCATTTATATCAGTATGGAATCAGATATATATATTTTATTTGAGGAGCTACAATCCAGTACTATATTTGTTTTATTGCTCGAATTATTCTAGTTTTGGCCATTTGGAGCCAAACAGTTTGAGCAATAAAATAAATTAGTATTGAATTATAACACCCCCCAAAAAATATATATACATGAGTATTGGATATGGAACCTACTTTCTCTAGAATCATAGGAACCTAAAATAATGTACTTGAGACTTGTTTCTAAGGACTTGAGTTATTTCTCAGCTTCTAGGTCACTTTCTTATCTCTGTTTTGTCTTAGACAAATACATCACTGTGTTCTCTTCAGCAGACTGGTAAATTATACAATAGAAAATACTCCAATAGTCAAAATAAAAGCTCTCTAAGAAATTTTACTATAAAATACTATGAAGAATTTGCATGGTCTTTAAAAAAGGTATTTTTACATACAAATTTAGCCTATTAAATTCTGAATTTACTGACCGTTAAAGGATGACTCTTGCTTGAGAAAACAGCCTTCTTGTATATCTGTGGTTTGCAGTTGGGTTCTTTCAAATCTGAACAAGTAAGAAGAAACAATACTTTTAATATACACATATATTCAAAATTCTTAGACAATCTAGGCTGCCAAAATGTACAAGCACAAATAAATTAATTTTCTCTGTAGGATTTCATTCTGAACATTTGCTTTTCCTGAGCTTATTTTTTGTATTCTCTAGAAGGGTCAACGGACTACAAACTGACTCACTGGAGAATATCTTCTAAAGAGACAACTACTCGATTCACTTCACCTCCTTTCCTACTTTTGTCACTTATCATGAGTTAAAGTCCTTTATCTCATCTATCTTTTATGTCAAATTACCAATGACACCTACATTATTGTGCAGACTTAGGAAAAACTAGATCTTAAAAGGATTAATAACCTTGAAAGACAGGTGTTGGATAGAAGTTATACATGGCAAAGATGACATTTATCAAAACATAAAACCTCATTCTAGATGCCACATGGCTATTAATCCCAAAGTAAAAGCACAGTCATGGTCACAACCTTTAGGGTCAGTACATGCAGCACATTCCATGTGGAGACTTTTAAAAGGAAGACCCAGAGAATAGAGTATCGCAGTAAATGTGCCAAAGGTCTTAGGATTCATATCCTTGGCTCTTATGAAGGGCTCAAGGATCCTAGAATAGCTGGACATTCCGTAAAGACAAAACAGTATCTCATGCCAAAAGCCTTATCACCAGCGCCCTAACAGTCCCGGCATCCAGACCCGACGTTCTGCACAGTCTACCCTATGCAGAATCCTAACTTTTTTTTTTAATGCTGCACCATCACAAAGTTAGGATTTAGGAAAACTATTCTATTACCCAATGCATGGCCTAAAAGTAGAGGATCATGAATTGAAAATGTTTTCCCATTCTGTTATTTCTAATATGAAAGAATTTATAGCTGGTGTTATTTTGCTTGATTACTTGTCTGTTTCTCTTACATTTAGTGTTTCTGTTTTGAAATTGAAAGCCTGTTCATGTCAACTCAATATCAATAATGAAGTAGTGATTCATTTTCAGAAGGGAACATATTCCTCTAAAGAAAGAGCTCAGGTGTCAGTGTTTTCAACCTGCATGTTTTTTTTTCTGATGCTGATCTGTATTGTAGCAATTTACATAAACACTGTCTTAATTTGTCAGTCAAAGACGAAAGGAGTGCCCGCCCCACAACTGTTCATCATCCATAACATGCATAACACATGAGGGACAATGTTATCTATAATGGATTGCCACTTTGATGTTTTTTACATTTAAGTCAACTGAAAAGGGCTTACATATGTGGAAAGCAAAGGAAAAAATATTAATAAAGAAAAAATTGAACAAAATCTCTACCTGAAAAATTAAACAATGTTGACTCCGGTAAACCATATAAGCTTTCCTTGACACTTGCCCCAATATCCCTTTGAAGTACATGTGAATTAAGTAAATAGGAAGAAAGTAAAGATTCCTGGAAACTGCAATCTATTGCTAGCTTGTAGCCCTAAGAGTTGGATCAAACAGAAAATTGGCCCAGCTCCTGCAACCTTCAGAGGAAGGCAGAATTCTATAACCTTTCCCAAAACCCTTTCTCATGACTAAGATCAGCATCTCCTTTCTGTATCCATTCAGAATTGCACTGTACCACAGAAGGTATAGTGTCTAGACATAAAATAGAGTAAGGCAGACACAAGATCCATTCTGGGGGCAATATACATCAAGGACTATAGTTATTTCACATTCTCTATCGGGTCGGTTAAATACAGACTGACTTATAATCATTAGATTATAAATCCTTCTCTGTAAGCCAGTGAAGATGGCTGTAAAGAGAGTGTGCAAGCCCTTACATTTCAGCATAACTCATATTAGTTAGAGACTATTCATATCTAGTCATCCAAATTTTTAATATCCCTTAGATTACCAGAATCTAAGTAGATAATAATGCAGGTCAAAGGATAATTTGCTCAGACTAATTTGCCTCAAATAATAAAATGATGAGTTGACTTAAGAAATAGAAAAATAATTAACAATGGAAATAATTGAAAACTTATCAAAAATAGCTTCCCAAAAAGCTCTAGGCTGAGAAAATTTTCTAGATAAATTTTGTCAAACTTTCAAGAGATACTTTTCTTGCTACAAAACTGTTTATGAGTAGGAAAAAATACAGTGACAAAATTTTTCAAAAGTCGTACATTGATATTAAAATCTAACAAAGAACAAAGAGAAAAATACCAGTCCCACTTATTACTATCAATTTAAAATTATAAATAAAATGCTAATGAACAAATTCAGTAGTTTACTAAAAGAATAAACCACCATAATCGAGGTAAATTTATTTCAAAAAGGCCAAGAAAATTTACTACTAGAATATCAAAGAATATGTCATAGCACTAGATCAAATCTTAAAAGAAACCAGATGATTATCTAAAAAAATACACACAAAAAAAATACTCAGTAAAACTTAACATCTATTCTAGACAATATTTCTTTAGAAAACTAAGAAACTTTAAAATGAACAATATTCATTTCAAATTTACAACCAATATCATCTTAATTGGGACATACTATAGCAGCATTCCCAAAATGTGGTCTACAGATAACTAATTCCTTATGATTTTCCAAAAGAAGAGGTCCCACCATACAATAAATTTTGCACATGTTCTTCCCTTTTTAGAGATTAATGAAGTATGGAAGCATTGTATATACTCTGTAAGCCTTTAAAAAAAATTAACAAAAACAATCTCTTTGAACTATTTAACTCAACAATTCTCAAACTTTTTTTGAACATTAGCTTCTACACTTCATTTTACTCCTCAGGCCACTTTACTGTGGTTTTTGGCATCCACCTTTGTACTGAAACTCAGCAAAAGTTACAAGCTGTTTCCTTCTTGCTAAATCCACTAGACTTGCCTTGATTTTCATCCTATTTATCTAAAGGTGTGCTAGTAAATGTTTAACAATTGGCTCATCTTGTAGGGAAGAATGCTCTGATTTGTAGTATTTGCCAGTTTCCATGGTGTAAATACTCCCACTGCGACTGAGTTCAGGCTACTAATGTGATGTCACAGACTTGAGAAGAGCTGGTGCCACATCATGTGGTATTCCCATCTTAGAGACACAATTGTCAAGAACACTTCAACAGTGTAGAATACTCAGGGAGTGACGTGGCTGGTGTGTGGCTTGTTACCTTGGTTTTTAATGTAACTGGTTTAATGGCAGATATACACAACTGCATGTTTAATAACAGCTGTGGATAACAATCAGCTCACAGAAATCCTCAAAATCTAACTGTCTTTAACAAGCCAAACTGAGCTGGCTGCAGCACACTCCGGTATTTTGTCCATCCTTTACTATTAAGGCTGTCTCGTCCCTTAGCTGCTTGGAGACCAGTTTCTCCTAGTTCTTATCCTATTGTATGACCTCTCTTTCAGTCCCTTTGCTTGGTATCTCTTCTTGCTGAGCTTTTACAGTTGATGTGTTCTGGAAGTTCCTTCTCAGTTTCACTGTTACCCATAAACACATCTGCTTGCATATACCTCCCAACTCTTTATTCTTAGCCACAGCCCTTCTCTCAAGAGTTCTAAATCTGTATCCCCAACTTCTTTTGAACACCCTACCTGGGGTTCTTCAGGCACTGAGGACTCAACATCACTCAAACTGACCACCCACCTTAGAGCTCTCTCTGAAGATTTAAAGCACAACTCAACGCGTAAAGAGGCCACTCCTCGTTCTCTACAAGATGAAAAGGAATTCCCTTCTTTACTCAGTCTTTCAAAACGCATGAAAAGAAGATTCAATTCCTAATCACAAGCAATGCATCTCCTGTCCCTGTTCCCACCTTCCCCTTTTTTCACACATCATGCTCTCTAGAATGTCTCCTTTACATTAAATTTTTCTCCATTCCCAGCCCAGGGACTTCACAATTTCTCCCTCTTCTCCTTCTCAGCACATGATTAGGTATATCAACTTAAATCTCCTCCAGCTTTTCATATCCAGGCTCTGCCTACCCATTCTCCAAGACTTCATCATGAAAACTGGAACCGACCTTGTAAAAATCAACTTTCCTAAGGAAAGGGGTAAGGGGTGTTGTACTGTCAAATGAAAATTCTCTCATGGATTGGGACAAGGTGGACATATATAAACACTCCCAAGTGACTAATTTTTATCCCATCAAACTAAACACGTGGATGTTTCACCACCCTCCCCTGCTCTCGCCTCAAACAGTCAATTGATTCCATTAGAGGACAGACTCAAGATGGGCTAATTACATCCTCTTCTAGATTTTTACAATTACTAAAGTAGCTCTTAAATTGATCTCTATATTTTGGGATAACAAAATAAAATGATTTTATTTGGATTAAGAGGAATTTAAGAATGAGAGAAACATGGAAATGAAGAATCTCCATGCAATGGTTGGTTTTAGGTGACAGTGGAGTTACTGAACATAAGTTAAAGATTTGGTGAAATAATTTACCTTGTCACAATTAACAAAGTAACTACTTTCAGGTTGCTTATCACTTACAAGAACAACTAAAAGGGTAGATCTAATCTGTGGTTACACCTGAATATGGTTATACATATGTGGATCTCATTGTTAAATATGGAATGGTGGTGGTGGCAGTGGTGGTGGGGTGTAGGCATCGCATTCTGTGGCAATTTAAATACTGGACAATTAGTCTTTTACTAAAGAGTGTAAGATAGGGTGTCTGGGTTCCGATTGCTTGGGTTCAAATCCTAGTTTTATCACCTGGAAAGTTATTTTTCTCTGTCTGTTGTTTGTTTCTTCACATGCCAAATAGAGATAACAGTGCATACTTTACATGGGTATAGGAAGAATAAAATGAGATAATGTATATAATATCCTTAAAATAGAGTCTCATTCAGAACAAGTGCTCAATAAATATTAATTATTACTATCAATAGCTAGATTACTTTTTTTTTGATACTTGAGATAATTATGGAAGAGACCTTTAAATGGATGGTTAAATAACATTGTGGCTAAGGATTTAAATGTAAGCAGGCTACAGGGTAA